GTTCACGACATTACGGGCCCATCAAATTAGCAGCTACCATTCCGCAAACAGCATTTAGTATTTATGAAACAGATTACCAAGTCTCGGTACTTAAATGGGACCATTAATAAATCAAAGTCCATTCAGATAGTTAAGCAATGGCGGCGTTTCCATACATCTGTATTATTATTAATTTTGGGCCGTGCCACGGCGCCTATAAAGCCCCTATAAATAATGGTTGTCGCCCCGCGTCTGTTTACTTTGAGAGTGTAGCTTTTAATATCACTTAAATTATTACGTTTAAGCATTTGTTGATCGAGACTTAAGAGGTGCTGCGATACGCTAAAACAATAACAGCTTACTAGCTTCAGATGCTAACAATTAAACCAAAGAGTACTTCACCACTACGTTTACTAGCACAAACGAAATTTTACAATAAAAATATCGTTTGCAAATATAAAATAACCTTTAAATAATAATTTATATTAACCTATAATAAGACACAATAATTGGACATTCTTTGTTTTGTCTTAACATATTACTTTATTCAAAAACGTTCACAATGTTTTCACTACAACGCTGGTAGTTGGAAATTGTATTTGTATTATTTCATTTCTGAATCGATGTATCGAATCTCGTTTTCAATATAACATGCAATAAGCAATAAGATATTGCATATTGTCTAAGTCATGAATTTAAATAGTACTTAATATTGATTTATGTTAATAGTGGAATAATAGCACCTACTTGCTGTAAATAAAAGTTTGATTTCTTCTCGGTCTTATATTTGAAGTAAATGTTTGGCCCTTAACGAAATATAAACAACCTCAATATACCTATTCTATTGAAATCTTAATTCTGTTTAAAGAAGGCGGGATAGTCGTTTCCATATCTTAGTTTTGTAAATCATAAAAAAAGTCAAAATACTTTTTTACTTTTACAGTAGAAATATGATGTATATCAAAAACTAATAAGTATCTACTCAATACGCAGACAGACAGAAGCACAACGAAATTATTGCATTTGTTAACTTAACATTTAATTAATGTTATAAGATTTAAAATCAATCATATCCATTAAATGGCGCTGATGTTATTTAATATCCAAGCTTTATGATAACATAATAAACATTTACGCAATTAAATTCCCTGGTAACATGTTAATATTGATTAAGATATTAGTTTAAGTAAATTAGCACACGTCAAGATAATCAATATGTTGCCTAACTAACATTTACATAATGTTATAGTAGTTTTAACATATATGAATGAATGAATGAATGAATGAATAATAATTTTATTTGCATATATCACACACACACATGCCAACAATTATAAAGTTGAATGAATACAAAGATTAAATATTAAAGAAGAAAAAAATAAACAAAAAGATATACACAACTCTGCATGTGTGCCGGAACGATGCAAAAAGGCAAAAGCTCAGTAATATGTTTGCTTATTGAGCAAACTGATTTTCAGCTTTAACCTAAAAAAAATTGGATTAGCGGTGACGCAACTAAATAGGTATATACTATTCGTCAAAGTTCAAAATTAAATATTGATGTTATATACTTTGAAACTATTTCAATAAATTACATAAGATTATAAAACTTGGAATACAAAGTGAATTGGATTAGGAAATAATAGACTAAAAATGAATAGCATTATAAATTAAATAATAATAATTAACATAATAATAAATTGAATCATGTTTGTTTGTATATGCTGACACCGTTTGCGTTTCGTTTTATTCAAACTGCTGCCGCACCGAAACTGCAATGGAATTTCAAACAGAAAACCAAGATCATAAACTGTTGGTGCACAGTATCCGGCCTGGTTGCAAATTTATTGCGTCATCGCAGTTTTGGGACCGCGGCCCGTTCCTATTCAATTTCTGGTGGGAATAAATTCGTCTGTCGAAATGTTGTATAAATTGGCGGCATGAGATCGGATTGTTAAAATGTGAACTGTTTAAATTAAAGAATTGAAGATGCTATTACTATATATATGTAGATCAGATACAAGGAGAACGTCTAACTCAAGTAAATACATCATGAAATGAGCATGAAAAACTGTTCATAAACCATGAAGTTACAGACGAAGTGAGTTGAATTCTATTTTTTTGTGAAGCCACTTCAAAAGTAAACCTGAAAACACAATTAACGTCCGGCTCGTATGTATATTATTTACTAATATAGCAAGTACACTAATTGGGATATAAGTTAGTTACTGAATACAGATGGTGAGAAAACTGGGCGGATGTATCGAAAGATTTATTAAGTAGGGTCTATAAAATAATTACATCATAATATCAGTAACACGTTGGGCGCCAACATACACTTAGCCCTAAGTGGTAAAAGACCTAATTGCTCAAAGGATTACTCCAATTGCGTTGTATAGATATAATTACATAATTATACATTTGGGAATTAATGCTACATCCATCACTTTTCCTTTGATCTTTATTTGTTCATAATCCGTATCGATTTTTCACTAACATCTCAAGAGATTAGGATTTCCCAAGCAATCGTTGCATAAATGAGTGCTTCATTTGATAAAATTAGTTAAGTTTTCAAATATAATTCAAAGATTATCACAGTGGAAAATATTTATTATCTTTTTATAATAAAAACAGTTCTTATTGTTCTAAAGGCATACTTGATAACAAATAGACTGGTAACATGTTGGGCGCCATAAATCCATCAATATTATGTTGACACAGTATAATTTGTTCAATTAAACCGTGTATTGATTGACAGGGCTTTAATTGAAAGTGATTTAATGAAATCGCTAAGAACGGGTGTGAAACAAAGCCCCCTCGCCCCCTTCTCTAATTGATTGTGTAACGAAAGTTTTGATGGGCATTATAATTATCGAAGCATTTGTGAGGGACGAAGTTGATTGCATCCTGTTTCTTATACTCAACACTAAATAGTTATATCTATTTACTTTAGAAATAATGTGCCTTCCAAATAAGTAATTGTTAAAATAATAGCCGTGGTTTTGTAGATTAGTCGGATCACCTACTCTTAAATATTATTATAAATTAAGTAACCTTGTATGAAGTTAAAAAGATAATCTTTTTATATTATTTTACCATATTGAAAAACTATGCTTTCATTAAATATATATTTAAAATTATAACATCCACGCACATTACTTATTTAATTAAACAACTATTGGTCAAGTTCTATAGTCACTGACATACATATTTTAAACGTTTTAAATATATCCTTAACAAGGTACCCTGGTAATTTAATAGAAAAATATAATGCGCTTTAAAACCTATACATATCCATATCGTGAAACATCATATTATTTTATAACAAAGCTCGATTGTACCTAAGCTAACACTTATCCTATCAATTTTAAAGCGATGCCTACGAACCCCGGAAGGAGGGAAGTGAGGGGGTCGCCATTTTACATGTATTGCAGGAAATTGGCGCTCGACGCCATTTCAAACGTACAAAGGGTTCTGCCACATGTTATAGGAGAGATCTGCGCATCCAGTGAAGTAAATTTCGGTCAATAAGCTCTGTTTCAATTGCCCGCTTTTCAGTTTACGTTAGAAGTCTAGAGAGGATCTTATAAAAATTAAAGGAGATATTTGAACATAAGATTATTTAATTATTAAAGTTATAATAACCAAGGAGTATCCCCTTATGTAGTTTGATTATAAGTCACATAATTAGAAAATAATCTTTGTCAATGAAATCCTTACTATTTTATCAATAACAATCGGATTAAAAATAGTAAGGACTTTTTACATACCACGGAAATAACTTACATCAAGAAATGAATAAATAAGTCGGAATAGATTGCTTGAATATTATATATCTTAAGGAAGATAAATACAAATATTTAATTGATTTTCATTAACTCATAATTATATATTCAGTTTGAGGAACTAAAAGCAGTGCAGTGTGGCCGGGACAGACGGCTCTATCAAAGGCCCATTGAAATAGTGAAATTAATCCCCAAATGCTATTGATAGTTGTTAATGACGGGTTACTCGAAGCATATGAGAGACTATTGTATCTGTCTGTTTGAACGACTGATACAAACCTGACCCATGACATGCATACATGGTGTTGATCGAGTTTGGATAGCTTTTTATAATAGCTAGGCAGGTACAAGTATCAAGGTATCTATCAAATGTCTATTTAAAGTTACACTTCAGTTCGTTATAAATTTATATCATTAGAATTCTTACACTTTCAAGCGAATTATTAGACATTGTACCTTTTATCCAAAATTAGGCTTTTATCTCAACATCGACAGGCTGTTATTTTGTGCTACCAGATTTTCATTTGTTCATATTAGTGTTCACATATACATGAATAGGAAATAATAAGAGAGAATATTCTTATATTGGCAATAAGATTATATCCGACGAGAGAGTTCCATTTACGCTCATCAAATATTCCCCGCGTTTTACATCCAACCGGTAGTGGTGTAGTCGCAAGAATAATTTTACCAGCCACTACAAAAATATATTCACCAATAATATTATTATTTACCTATGCGACTCGGATACCTGAGCGGAAAAGGAAATAACAAAAGCTGCCAAGAGCTATTGGTTTCTAGCTATAATAATATATACTTTAAAAAAGAAGTACGTTATGACTAGAGAAATAATAATTGAAGGCATTTTAAGTTATGAGATAAAAGAGAGTGTTTTCGTTAGAACGCATAAACAAAAATATAAAACAGATACAGGACTAATGTACAATAATATAGTGGCAATACTTAGACACTGGCGTGTAAGTTACTCATCCTTTTTTTTATACCGAGTGGAACTGACCTTAACATGCCATCGACCTGGGCGAGCAGCCGACTCAACCCGGGCTCTCCCACTGCAAGGGACGGCGGTTCAGTGCAGTGGGCCTACCGTGCAAAACCCCCCGTACTACCTTCTCGCTTGATCCGGGTACCTGGTATCTTATGATGAGTCCCAGATAGTTCCGGATCAAGTTAGTCATCCTAGAAGTTTATCAACATATTATTTTTTGTTTATTTCAGATGAGGTGGACGTGATCGGTTACACGTCCAACCAGAGCGACAGTGAGTCCCTAGTGTCAGGGCACAGCGGCGACAGTGGCGTGGGAGTGACGCGGGCGCGGCGAGGACGCGCGCGGAGCCCCAACACCGTCTGCCCCCGGCGCACCATCGCCAGCCAAGCGTACGCCACGCGTCCGCGACGCTCCACGAGGATCTAGGTGAACTATATTTTTTTTACAAATAATAGTATGATACAGATGATAGGATAGATGATAGGTCGCCCTGAATAAGACTAATCATAAAGGCTGTCAGAAAACACCTGTTGGTCTACCGCGCTAAAAAATCAATTAAGTCGGAGTTATGGCAACGGTTTTGTTACCTAAGTAGTACGATCAAATAAAATATTACACAGCATCACATCAAATGTTCAGATTCCAAGATGAGAAACAACAAAGGTACCACAATACTTAAACGAAAAAAGTTAATTTTTCTACATTGTCTAGATCTGGCCGGGAATTTTGAACCTTGGAGATAGCGGCTATGAAGTTCGTTAAATAAAAAAAAATTATGCATATTATTTATGCAACTTATGTCGAAAGCGTGCAAGAATAATGCAACTCTGAAATCCAAAGTACGAAAAAGCGTTCTTCTGCGTCATGCTACTTCAACGTTAGCAGCCCTACGATTCTATAAAAATCCAGATCCAATTTCGTGTGTTCCAGATCCGAATTCACATCATTTAGTGAAGAATATCTTTTAATTCCATTTTTTTGTATAAAATACAAAACAAAATTGAATACGTGTCTCAGATATTCTATTTCTGTCATTTCCAAACTCACTTCACTTATGCCATGAAACGTTATTACCAATTCAACGTTGAGCAGATGCCGCTTTTTTATGTGAGTTTGAACGTCTGAGTGAATTCGAATTTGGATTTAGATTTTTCAGAATCGCAGGGCAGTTCTGGCTTTAGAACTGGGACAGGCAAAGGCTTCCAATTTTCTATAGGCTTGTGGACAGTGTATCTGTTATTTACATGACTAAATGTTGGTTACTTTAATAGCACTGATGGCATAATGTTTTGTTTCAGGTGGACGATGCGGGGCGCGGGGTGAGCGGGATGAGCTCACCGATACGTTAAAACTTCGTAACGTAAACAATCGTAGAACATTTTGTTGATACATTTACTAAGGCGAATGTTATTTCTGTGACTGAGCGGTGACAGCGTGGCAGTTCAATGTGACAGAGTGACCGGTGGCGGCGAGGCTGCGCCCGCGCCTCACGCACACATGCAACACAACACAAAACACAACTTACACACGACATTACACACCATCACTTGAGTACAAAATTGCCAAAAATATCATATTATTATTATTTCTTCATCACACAAACCGTGTGTTCTTAAACTAAATACGATTTTTAATCTTTGGCGACTATACTATATCGATGTCAATTCCATACTTTTGAACATCGATTTGTTTTTTATTTTGTACAGAAGTGTTGCTATTCACAAATATAATTGATATATTGTAACTTTACAATTCGTCTATTATATGTTTTTAAATATGTATAGCTTTGTTGGTGCCCTGTATTGAATTAGTTTCAAAAACACCGTGTACAAATATAATAGTTACGAGCGGGCCCTTCGAAGATTGACATTAATTATTAACTGTAAAGTGCTCATTTTATTTTTTTATTTGTTATTGTATCGGACATATTGGAATATATTATTGATCTTTGAAAAAGCGTTTTGAAAAAACTCTCTAGGTACTTATATTGTTATTGATTTCCACAAAAAAAAAAGATAAGTAATGCTAATTTAGCTAATGTTGTAAAATAAATATCAATTTTATATTTTGTATATAATTATTTTTCTTGTATAAATTAATCAAATAGAATTTAGATCTGTGAATGTCATGCGGAAAAAATATTGGGTTCATAGATACAAAAGATGCCCACCAAAAAGATTTTCTTGTTAATATTAATTTAGTAATTTTCTAACAAGTTTTTTTTTTCTGTCGAAGTCCAAGTACTAAGTAAGTTATTGGATGGCTATGAGAACTCCAAGGAGATAGTCATATAGTTTTTTTTTTTCATTTGTATTTGTAACCACAATATTTTTTTGTATAAATTATTGTAAATCTTAAAGTCTTTGCTTTTTACACCCTAAATGTCGTAGTAAATGCAGTAGGCTCTTGAAATTGCATTAAATCAAAGGAAGGGTTTGCATTTTTTTAAATTATATGTTTGGAAAGATTTGTTTGGCGTTGTCTTAGTCTGCTGTGCTAATTTTAACATTTGAATTTCAACCACTTTATATCAGTTTCCATTCATTTCACCTACTCTTCTATTTATATTTGTATATTCTATTCTTCGATGATATCTAATTAAATTTTATCCCTGAAATCCCCAGTACTTTTTATTCTAACGTTTTAATCATAAAGTTAGTCTACAGATAAACCACCGACACAAAATATAACTCTAATTTAATTGGTAACAGCCATAACATATCACAGCATAGTGCAAACACACAACACGCACATATTCCGTTGCTAAATCAATCTCTTCCTTAAATAATGTAAAAAAACAAACACGAGAATTGTACTCAAAAACGTGTCGTATACGAAAACATGTACTACTATGTAAGTGTACCTCATGAATGACACTTTGGTACTCCAATGACACGGTTTTGATGCATTTATGCGGTGTAAGAACTTAGACCTTAATATCCAACATCACTTACTAACAATCGTATTGTTAAGTATTAATAATGAATATTAAAATAATAATGATCTCACTTTTTGTCACACGTCCATTTGAGTAATCTGTCATCGAGAACTTAGCAGTTTTGGAATAACATTTTCGACAAAGTCGCAGAATTTATTTTACTGAAGTTTTATTGAACTTTACCGAGCTAAAATTAGTGTATCTTTCTTCACTTTATATATAAATATATATTAAAAAATATTTTCTAACTATTTTTATGTTGACAAAATTACTTGATGGATATTAATTTATGTAAAACATTCATGTATGTACCAAAAACATTAAACATAGAACGGAGCTGACGATATGCATGACGCGTTAATAACCTTGTAAGGGTTACACAGCTAAGAAAAGTACACATATATTTTTGTTATACTATTGAATCTTGTAATGATAAAGTTGTTAATTCATTTTGATTGTAACACAGAATACAGAAAGATATTAGATGAGGCTTATGTGCTATAAAAATATGATATGAGCAAACATTCTCCTTCTTCTCTAATTATATCGGCACTATTACAAAGAGACACATTCATGTTACACATACTTTGGTAGTAGTGTTGCCAGGTGTACCGATTTACGCGGGACGTCCCGATTTTCAGGGGTCCGGGGACGCGTCCCGATTTGTACCTAATCGGGACGCTAAATGTCCCGAAAAATCAAGTATTTTTATTAAAAAAAATTTTTTTTTTCATACTGTCAAATCCATTTTTGAAAGCCCCTCACTATATTTATCTATGTCTGAAAGCAGAAAAGCTACCAAACTAGTACTAATACTTGTTTTTTTGTCTGTCCCGATTTACAACCCTAAATCCCGATTAATTACATCTCGATTAATAATAAATTGGACCTGGCAACACTATTTGGTAGTATTAATTGCGTCGACAAAATTCTATAATGCTTATTATATTACCAACACGATAGTTTCTAAGTATGGGCCTCTCGACTGTGTGACTTTTTTCAAAAGCGATACTATGGTAAAGTGTGACACGCTATGAACAATTGAATTCGAGCATGTGTGCGTAAGCTCGTATCTATTATAGTACAATGGTAGTGGTGATCGATAGTCGGGACATTCCGGCGACAGTGATTTTTATTTCTTATCTCTTTCTGTATTTTGTGTAAAAATAATGTCGGTTTATTTATACGACGAGGCACATACCTGGCCGGCACTCGATACTCGTCTAACGTGAAGAGTGGGTGTTTCTTTTCTAACACATCAATGCGTATTGTAAATTGTTTTAGGTATGGATGTTATATTAAGGATAGCTATAAAGGTATTATCATTTTGTAAGTAATTATAGTTTGTTTTAGAAATGACAGTCTGATCTCTTAAGATATGATGCATGTATCGGTTCCGTCTCGTCGTAACCCTCAGCGCAGCTCTGCCAAGCACGCGAATCGTCCACGTTCTTCTTATTTAAAATATCATTTTGTATGTAATAAGGTCGTCCATTTGAAATGTTAATTTTAAAACGCGTCGTTGTTTTGCTAGTCAAAATACCAGCCAGTAATGAGATGTCGCGTTCATAAATTTTAAATGTACACAGATATTTAACAAACAGTATGTAAAATATGAAAGCTATATCTATCTGTTGCGAAAATATATTTATTTCACTAATACGTTTCAATTATCAACTGGATATCAGTGTAATAAGTGCCTATTTTTGCTGAAAAAAAAAAATGTTACCAATCTTGCAGGAGTATCACAAAATAAGTTTATACAAACTGGTAATAACTGGTTTTCAGTACTGATAAAATAAAAGATATAACTGATAGGTGATGGAAAAACTTCTATCATCTCGCTCCAGTACCTCTGCATTACACTTTTTAGCGATTGGCTGATGCCAAACCGTTCAACCAACCAATAGCCGACGCAAACTTGATCCGCGCATAGACATCGCCATATTTATTTAAAATTTTCTTGTTACGCCGGTCTGCATTTGTAACTTATTTTTGTGATACATACTGTACACCGCTCATATCCATGAGAATACATAGAAAGTGCAGACTCGTCCATAACTAATAAAGTGCCGTTCATATTGAACGAGTAGGTAGGGTAGGGATACGCATGAGTGATATTCAAAAGCGTTTGCACTTTCTCTGTAAATTATACGTAATTGCAGACGCATTCTATCATTTTATATTCTTTACTTTGAAATATTCTGTAGGTAATAAATTTTATTGAGAAAATGCTTTCATATTTGTCTGCGATGGATATTTGACAATTGTATGTATAAATATTTCTATTATCGTCAAATCCGTGTGCGGCAGTACACAACAGGGTTATATGGCAATAATAAGTGGACGTTTAGCGGGTTGACGGCAGGGTTAATGACCGTCGTTATAAAGTCAGCTGATGGCGGCTTTGGACGCCATCGCTCGTCATCTCCTGCCCCGAAACGTCAACAATTTATATTAATTTATTTCTTCAGTAAAAAGATAATGTTTATGTATCAAAATTATTTATTTTAGAACAGTGCTTGTCGATTAAAATACGTACCTGTGTTTCGCTTCTGAACCACAAGCCCGCTGTCTAAACGTATTTCTTTTCATTTAATACCTGTGTAAATGGGCGCAAACGGCGACGGGACACAATAAGAGTACAAATTCTGTATAAGCCCCTACTTGAGTGTTAATTCTAAAACGTTAATTTTAAAACACAAAACAGGGAGAATGGTACCGTTAAAGGTACAAAACTAGTATATGTAGCGTGCGGGCGGGTGTAGTAACATCGGATTCAGTCGTCTCTGCCTTCAATGTTGTTTCTTCCTTAAATAAATTGTGTCTGTGCTCTATAGCTCCAGTGATTATGGATTGTTATTTTCCAGCAGTTCATTCAGTGTCGTTATAATAGATGTCTTTAAATCACTGTAACTATAGAGCCCTAGAAGCGGTGCGACGCACTGTAGCGTACACCTCGTGTTAGATAAGAAATGTGTTATTAGAAATGAATTTGCAATAAATACGAACAATATTAAACGGCGCGGCTCACGTCTTCGCGAACTTTACTCAACTTAGTCACTGTAAATTTAATATTAGCCCGGTGTAAAAAAAATATATATTATGACAGTACGATTGTAAATATTGGAGTCAAAATTTTTATACAATTTATCATAAATAAATAAAATCCATGGACCAAGTTGCACGCGGAAACGTGAGTCAAAGCGTTGGCATTAAAAGAACAGTCATTTTCAAATGCGCTTGCGAAACATCACTGGTTTCAGAAATATATAAACATCTACTTAAAAAAATATATAGTGAAATTACACAAAGAAAACCAGTTTTCGACAACTAGTGATATTTCTCGAGGGTAGTTTGAAATGTATACTGTGTCAGCGGTTTCTACCCGCAATTCGTTAGTCTGAACATAGAGGCAAACATTAGGTACTATAATGACTTCTGCTGATACAACTTGACAGCATTATTCAATGTAATTGACGAAATGTGGCACATATAATACTATATGTAAAAAAAAGTTATAGAATTAATTTAATAAAATTATAAATAAAAATCTTTTTTGTATCATTCCTTCCAGTATCGTTTACCTATAGATATTTATCTAAATACATATATCACTCATCCTATAGCACAATATAACCGATAGTCCTTGGGCTATATTGAGGTCAAAAGTGAGTCAATTATGAATTTAAAAAAAAAGATATCACATTTTTAACAGTATATGAAATGTTTGGAAATGTATGGATAAATTAAATACAAGGTATAAACTAAAAGTTCTTTAAATGAAAATTGTGGTTTTTTTTATAAAATGAACGTCATTATAAAAAAGTTAGTTTGAGACTGTTTTGACTTTTGCCGGTAATCTCATCTAAATAAATGAATAGAAAACTTCTTTTTTTTAATTTATCTTTTTGTTAATTATATATAATTTATTGAATTACATATGACCGTATTATAGTTTATAATTATATTTGACATATTCTAAAATATATTTTAGAAGATACATTTTTTACATAGTATATTTTAGAAGTTATATTTATACTAATATTATAAAGCGGAAAGATTT